CATGCCCCAAAAACACACTCAGATGCCCAGTGGCTGTCCCGAAAAATAAAAAGGGCATCCTTCTTGGGCCGGTGGAGTTGAAAGGAATCGCAACCCTTCCCCCCCCCAAAAAAAAAGGAAGGGACACCTCGATTGCGAAATCTGCTCCCCTGCTAAAAGTGACTAACTTCTAGTGGTTTAATGGAAAACCCATTAGTTGGCAAAAAGTTAAAGTCCTAACATCCAAATGGGCCAAGGAAACCAGGGTGCCGCTGTTTTGCAGCTGGGAAAGCCTGCCCTGCACTTTCCAAGATCCGCGCCTGTTGAAGCCGACTTCGCCATGCGGCCTTCGCATGGAGAACAAATGAGCCCCAGAACTTCAAAAAACTTCTTTTCGTCAGGTGGTTCCCCGCCAAACCCAGATGGGTACGGGGCAAGACCAAACCCACCGGGAATTGGGTAATCCGCAGCTTGAAGTCCGTGCTTCCATTTGCCAGGGCAACCCATTTTGGGGCCAGATGATTCCGAGAGCCCAGCTTTGGATGGTGTGTACAGGGAAAGGCTGACAAGAAACCCCATATGGGCTTGTCTTTAAATGGGTGAACCTCAGAGGAGGTTGTTGTTTTCTTGGCGTTTCCCACCAAAGCCAGGGTTCCAAGGAAAAATTCACGCCCATCTCGGTTTTCAGGTGCCCTGTGTTGTTAAAAAAGCCAGTTGCCCTACCCAGCGTCTTCCCTCAAACTGATGGCTTGGAGGCGTGCCGGGGCTAAGCCTTCTCCTTCGGTCGAATCGGTCGAAGTTTCGGCAGACACGCAACGGGCAAACTCGATGTTCCGCTCAAAAACACGACGCTACTTAAAAACAAAACCTACAAGCGAAAAACAAGCAGGACTTTGTTCTCTTCAAAACACAAGAAGAAACACAACAAATGCATGCATGCATTCATCCATCCATGCATGCATGCATGCAAGCCAGCCAGCCAGCCAGCCAGAAAGCCAGCCAGCCAGCCAGAAAGCAAGCAAGCGACCATCCGATCCATCAAACAAACAAAGACGCAAAGAAACAAACAAGGCAAACGCAGAAGGGAGGGAAAATCTGGTTATGACATTGACCGTTGCTCATATTGCGTTGCACGCATTGCTCATATATGTCCATCGGTCAGCATGATTTCCTTCAAAACCAGAAGGTGTTTCACAGAAACACACCTCAAGCAAACGGTTGAACAGAAAAGAGGACGCATGCGCTCAGCTTTTCATTGCTCAACCCCCTTCTGGTTTCGTGGTTTCCCTTAATTGGACCGTCCTCAGATCCCCTGCTCAAAGTTTAACTCTTGGATTAAGTTCGGAAACCCAACCACCCGTCACCGAAACCAATCCCCTTGAAACCGGGGGGCCCGCCCCGCCAGTTGCCGGAAAGCCGAAGCCGAGCCGTGCCTGGAGTGCCAGGCTTGGAGCCGGATGTGGGCCTGAATAATATCTCTCATGGCGAGTGGCGCGTGGAAGGCGTGATCGCACAAAGAGAATTGAGTGGACCTGGATCGCCAGTTGCGATCGCTTTTTTCCATGCACTTTACCCCCAAAACCAGCAACAGTGACTGAAAAAAGCAGCAACTTGGCTATCCAGGGAATTGATCAGTGGATTCATGTTGACCCCATGTTCACATACTAATCAACCCCTGTTTATGAAAAGAACGGGGTGGTTTTTGGCCCCTCCCAAAGTGATGGTTCCCCACATTTCAGGTCACCCCCCCCCTACTAATGCTTGATTGATATAGGGTCAACACCATAACCTGGCTTACCACCGACTAACACAACCTTGTTGAGCCCCACACTGGATGGTTGCGAAATCCAGATCCATCGCACCAAGAAATGAAACCATGGCTGACACCAGAACGTTTGTTGGCATGTGCATGCGAATCGAATCATAAACCGTTGGGTGTCCTGAGTCGATTCCAATGTACATACCAACAAACAGGTATGGCTCAAAAAATGGCATCCCAAAAATGGCACCTTGGTATATGGGGATTGATCGAAAGGTGATAAACATGTGATGACCATCAGGGAAACCACCAACAAGATGACTAAAAGACCACAAAATGGAGAAACTTACCCATGGTCATTTTGGGGCCAGGAATATTGATCAACCCCCATATAGGAATAAAGACCAAAGCCTGCGCCTGGCCGCAGCTGTTGAACATTTTGAACCACACGTGTTGTTTTGTTTTGCTTTTTGTTTTAACAACTGCCCCAAGTTAGGTTCGGGTAGAACATCAGCATGCGATATCCCCGACAGTCCCGGAACCCCCCTGAACCGAATCTCCGGAGTGAAAGCTGCCCCGAACCCCAGATCTGGGCAAAGACACAATCGCCTTCAGCTGTCGGGGAAACAAGATCCGGCAGCACCCGCGTCCCGACTTCCCTGCTTTCAGCTACAGAACGATTCGCAAGGTTTTTGGGCCAAACGTTCAGCGGGAAAAAATGGGCCTCTAAGCCGACGAACATTTTGCCCGGGGCCAAAAAGGCGAGACATGTGTCTCGCCTGTTGGCCCCGACAAACATGTCTGAGCTTGTCATCTGTGCCAAAAGCGGGTTTCAACTTAGCCTCACTTGGCCATTTAGCGGCAAAATCGAGCATTCTTCACATAAGTCGAACTGGGATTTGGCCAACGCCCGCTTTGGCGTACCCTCAAAGAAGCACGCCATGGAAAACACTCAAATGGTCGCCCGAAACGGAGCTCAGCGAGTGAGATGGCGACCGACTGTTTTGAGGAGACGCCAGGGTCAAAGTGGATGTGATGGATATCAACAAAACCGAGCCAAACCATCTTCAAAGAGGGCAACCTGGTTAAACGGACAAAACAACGAGTGGTGTGCCTGTGATTTTGTTTTTGCGGGAACCCAATGTTGCGCTTGGTTTTTGTTGAAGGGGGCTTCACCAAAAGGCAAACCCATCACCCGTTGGGTGTGTCGTCTATTTTGACCTACCTATTTTTGGGTGGGCTTGGGGGAAAAAAAACACAAGGGCCTTAAACCGAAAGATGGCAAAAGGAAAGCCATTTAAAAGCCTCGAGGGTCCATACCAAGAGGCTTCGGACACCCTTTTTTTCGGGTTGGTCGAATTTAAATCGGAAACATACCCACATTGTTTAAGCAAAGTGCGCAACCAGCTTCCCTGCAATCGGTGGCTTGGATGGGTGGTTTGGAGGTCAGGGATGGTTTCCCATGTATCCCCAACAAGAGCCGGATGTTCAGATGTCAGTTCCCGCCAATCCAAACCACCAACTGCGGGATACCTGAACTTCCCCAATGGACCCGCAAAGGACACGAGTCCGGGTACAGGTCTCAACACCAGATCCAGTCGGGTGGGTCTCTGAAAGGATCTTTGACTTGGGGTTCTAAGCAAGTAAAAACAGTTCAAGAAACACATCACACCAACAACAGTGAAAAGACTCCCAATCCGACGCAGGTAAAACCACCTGGTGGTAGGGCGCTCATGAGCTCTGGCCAAGCTCTGGCCATCTCTCGGATCTGAGCAAGAATCCCAAGCATAGGGTCAACCCCCTACAAAAACATGGTTGACCCAATTTGTTTGAGGACAATCCTTAGGTAAAACAATATCGGCCCAGGTCTTCTGTCTTTCTATGGAACCTGCACACGGAACGGTGAAGCTCATACAGATTCACATCAGCCTTCCAAAAAGTCCCACGGAACCTGAGCCACAATCAAGACCAGGTATTAAAAAGGTCTACCAGAACCATGTAAGGAGTTAAAAAGGCGGCTGCACCCATTTATGGTTGGGATTATTCCCAATAGCCTTCATCGGTTTTGATTGAGGCTCACCTGAACCTGGCCAGATAGAATCCCCATTGCCTTAAGGACCTCAGCTGAGTGTGCTTGGCTTTGTTTGTTGAGAAGCAAGACTGGTGTTCCTCTTGGTTTTCTTATTCAATCCAAAAAGGGCTACCCTCAAAACCAGGAACCACACCCTGCTCGGTTCTATTCCTAGGTCTTGCGGAAGGCTCAAAGTCGAAGACCTTCACTGGGCAGTGTTCAGCGGACACACACCGTCTATCATGTTGTCAGTTGTTTGCTTAAAGCCGCCCTCGCATGAGAGTTGGGACCATCTCCGTTGAAGCGAACCCTCCCAACCAAAAAAGGGGTGAGAAAGGGCACCTGGCTGGGGGACCTCGTTTCCATTCCGAGGTTGCGCAGAAGGCGCGGGGATTTGGCCGTGGGTCAAAACCCCGTACTCCCAGTAAACATCCCAATCCCCACTAAAATCGGTTCCAAAATGGGTGGCGAATTCACCTACCAACCAAAATGGGATCCCAAATCAGTTTTGACCACCACAGCCATTTGAAGCCACCGCCCCAAGCCGAGACCCCCGGGCAAACACCCCCCGCCCACGAGGCGACGAGGCCCCGCCTGGCTGCCGGCGCCTCCTCGGAATCCATGCGGTAGAGCTCCGTGGCGCCCATCGCCTCGAACCTCACGCGGCGCGTTCCCTACGTGCGGCACCCTTCGGTCGGCGGAAAGGGAAACCGAGGGAACTCCCAAGGGAAATCCGGAGGTTGGTGAGGGAAATCCTAGAGGAAAGTCCTGAGGTGGGTGGAAAGGGAAATCTTAAGGAAAATCCTGAGGGCGGTGCAAAGGCAGACTACAAAACAACGCTATTTATAGGGGGGCCTTGCCCCCCTTGACATAAAATTACCTAGATGTCCCTTGGTGATATTAACCATCCAACTTGTAAAGTGAGCTTCCTTTCGAGAAAGCCCCAGTGAATGGCTTACAGCGCTGCAATCTTTGTTCCCGAAAGCGGCTGCCCTCGTGACATACATTCCTGGCAAAGCAGGGGATTCTCCATCCTGAAACAATTTGCTGCTCGGCCCCAAATCAACTCCTTGGAGAAGCCTCAGGTGTTGAAGGGCGGTGGTGTGTTTGGGGTTGGCATGAGCCAGGCGGACCACGCACGTGACTCTGAGTTTCAATGTGGACAGTACCCTGAGCCCGTCGACGGTTGGTTCAAGCATTGTATAGCCGTCACCTGCACCCCCCAACCCAGAGCCCCTTAAGCGGCCAGGCAAGGGGAAGTGGTACCCTTGCCCAAACCAGCAACCAACTGTGGCCGAGCGGGGCAAAAAACCCAGAGGAAGCTAGATTTTGAGGGAAACCCACCTTTCGACCCGAGAAGTTGCTACCATTCGACATCAGTAGAAATTCGGCTGGTCTAAACTGACCACTCGTTGGAGCCAGAAACTGGTCCCCAGCTAGTTTAACTTCTGGGTGAATTCGGAAAACTAAAAAGAGCAAAAAAAACTGTCTGGAATAAAATGGAAAAATTCACCAAGCAAACTGTTTTTTCAAGGGGACCCCCTAAAAAAAAAGCAATAAGAAAGACATGTTTTCCCCGTGGCTTTAAAACCAACCCAAACACGGGCACCCCCGAAAAGAAACAAAAAAAGACACACCTTCAAATTCTCCCCCGAGCCCTTTGGCGATCCCGGCATGGCGGAGATGCTGGACTGACGCCCGAAGCCTTGCTTGCTACGTTTTCGGGGCCCCGTGTCTCTTGAGGCACCAAAAAGGACGCGAAAAGTAAACAGGGTCACTGGGTTTTTCCCCACATCAAATGTTGTTTTGTTTAAAACGAAATGCGGTGGGTGTCCAATTGAAGCTGCCACTTGTGGTGGTTCCAAAAAGAAACTGGGAGGAAACCCTCTTAGCAAAACCGAGCTGCACAAGCTTACGGAGGGCCCAGAGCAATGGAGCACCCACTGAGGCCATCGGGCCCCTGAATTCAGGGGGTAGGATTGGGGTTGGTAAACCTGGCGTGAAGCCCAAGGTCAAACTCGAAGCACCGGTTGTTTACGATAGCCACGGCCATTCACGTGACATGGGATTTGCCACTCCCCGAAGCTCTAGGAAATGGTCGGAAATGGTTGGTTTGTACACGAATCCCGTCATTTTTAGGGACTGCTGAATATTGTGGTTCAAATGACTCTTGCCAGCCCTCACAACTTGGATGTGCAAAGTTCATCGCACTCAGAAGGCAAACTGTCAGTAAGCCTAGTGAGACAACCGCCGCTTCCAGTTCCCTGGGAGAAACAAAACTCTACCAAATCACAGGTTGGGACTTGTTCAGCCCAAAGACCACGATATCATCGGGGCCCAGAAACGGGGTTGGCGCCATTTGACTAGTTGGGTCACAACCATCCTGGGGAAAAAACAAAAACGCCCGCCAAACCATGACAGGTCATCTTCAACCAGGATTTGATCTCCATCGGACTCCCAAATACCAATCCTCAGGCGAAGGATTTTCGGACTCCTATTCGGGCAAAGCGAAGCCAATTTACTCCTATTCGCGCAAAGGACCGAGAAGTAAAAGGCTAACCTGTTGGTACCACCTTTTAGTTTCCCTTTTTTTAACTTGAAATGGGTACCAAAAAAGGGGAAACTAAAAGGTCAGATCCGGTCGATTCGCTTCGGACCAGTGAGGTTCCGCTTCAAACATCACAAGTGGAAAGTCGAAAGATTACCCGAGATTCGAGCTTTGCTTTTCTTCCCAGTGGAGCTCCATGGGGAACAAAAGAACTGGCCTCCTTCTTTTGGTAGCAATGGCTGATTCTAAAGGGACCCTTTACCCCGCCACACAAAGACATAAGGAAGCAACCCCCCTGTTGCGGAGATGGGAACCGCGGAACCAAGCCACACTCGCCAGCTTTCGCTCCGGCTTGCGCTTCGCTCGGGTCGTTTTCCTGAGGACCGGTCCCTTCTTCTCCGACTCCTCTCCAATGTGGAAGCTCATAGGCTCCTGGCCACCCCAGAAATGGAATTAAAACTGCTGGGAACCAAGGGAACCCACGAACGAATCGGGCGAAAAGGAGGGGGGGGGGGCAATTGGCCGAAACTGATGTCCAAGCGCCTGAAATGAGGAACTGCTTGGGGCGAGGGAACCGTTTCTAAGACAACTGGGCTTGCCTCGGAACAGGCTGGAGCCCTGAAATGAGCTCCGGTGTCGTGATTTTCCCAAGCCCCAGCAACCCTTCGAAGGTGAGCAGGCAGGAGAGCCTGGACTCCCCCTCCCCAGAGCTAAAGCCGGTAGAGGTCACCCCGAGCTTACCCAGGCCTTCTTGGCACAAGGGACAGCCTCAGTACTCTTCAGAGCTTGGCGGGGTACGAGAAAAGGTGCATTTGACCCCAAGAATCCGGAGAAGTTCTGTGCCACCAAACGAGTTCGCCTTGAGAACGAATTCTTCACACATGGGAAGGTAATGCGACCTTGATACAAGTGGGAAATGAGTTCAGCGTCCCAATGACAAGCTTGTCGCACACAAACATATTTTACCATAGAGGTATTTCTGCAGGACAAGGATATACATACTTGTCAAGTGCTTTCTGCTCCCCTGATAACAGTTTAACTTTTTGTGGTTTAATGGAAAACCGCAAAAAGATAAAATCCTAACGTCCAAGCAACATGCACCAAAGTTGTTCTGTGTGTGTGGCACAGGCAACGTGTTCGTTTCTTGTACTCTTTGTCCGCCTCGCTTCGCACAGAGGGAAACATGCCCCGAGCCTGCAGGCTGAAGCGAGGCCGTGTTTTTTTGTTTGTTTTTTGTGGTTTTGTTTTCTCCTTGCTTGGGGACATGGAAATAAAAGGTGGTCATCTTTCGGAACCAAAGGACTAAAAGACCAAAGGCATACCCAAAAGGCCAGATCCGGTCGATGCGCCTTGAAGCAAGGTGTTCCCTCAGAAAAGTCCCAGGGTTCAGAGTTACAACACGGGAGGCGAAGGAGATCGAGACTCCCCAAGTTTGATCTATCCGCTTGGGAGAATCCCAAAAACGGAAGGTCAACCCCATTCCATGGGGCCAACTTTGCAACTGAGTCCAAGGTGACATCCTGAAATGACTTGTTCCTCCACAGTGGTTTAAAAGGGGCTTCTGGAGCACCAGGCAATTGTGAGGACCCCTCAAAACGGGCTTGTCTCAAAAAGTGGGGGGGTGGTGCTCCTTGTGCTCCTCCGAAAAGAAAAAAAGAAGCAAAGGAAAAAACACAAAAAAGGGGGGAAAAAAAACAGAAGCGCCACACATATGGCACCATCCCAAAGACGACGCACCCAACTGGCACCACTCTGCGAGCCCCAGACCCCCGCCTTGTGGCGCAGCGCGTTGGAAGGAGATCCCGCCTCAGATGACGTGAGATGACGTGAGCCCGTCTTTCGGCAGGCGAAAGCAGGCAACAGGAAGTCGCAAGCTCAGGCGATATCCTCAGGAAATAGATGGGCAAGCCACTGGTTTAGATGGGTTTAGATGGGTTTAGATGGGTTTAGATGGGTTTAGATGGGTTTAGATTGGTTTAGATTGGTTTAGATTGGTTTCATTCCATGTACCAGGGAAACCCCGCTATTTTTCCAGAAGGACCTACTGTGGAATCCCCAGCGCCAACGGATGGGCAATTCCTAGCCACTGGAGAAACCATCTTACCGACTTCGAAAGGAAACCATCTCAACCATCTTCATCAGCTTAATACTATCTTACTGGAGAAACCATCCCTCCTGTGGATGGACGAAGTCCGAAACCGCACCACTTTAAAACCATGGCTAAAACCACTGTTTGTCGGTATTTACAGGGGAATCATCATTCTATGGTTTCTCCGGTGATGCAGGATTTCGTCCACCCAAAGTATCCCCAGCGCCTGCATCCCTGGAACCTTCCTTGAACCTTAGACCTGCTCCAGACCACTCCCAATCCTTATCTGGGCTGCGACCCCTTAGCTTGCAGCTGTTGGGGAATATTTACAAAACAATAGTTGGCTATGAGTTTTAGTTAGGGACCCGAACTGGTGGACATCATTTAGGGGATTTATGTCCACCACGTTTGAGAGTTTCAACCCCATGAAAATTCATAGTCGATTATAGTCCAACCATACGATCAACGTCCAACTGTTTTATCCTTCGTCCACTCAGATGCCCAGTGGAAACCTGGGGGAAAAAAATAATCGGCATCCTTTTTTGGTTGGTTGAGTTTAAAGGAATCGGAACCCTTCCCCAGAAAGAGGTGAAAAAAAGAAGCAACCGTGACTCTTCGAATGGCATGATCTTGCAGATGGGGAGGCAGGGTAGAACCCCGGGGCTGGAATGCGGCTTGTTACTTAACTTCCAAAACTGTCGTGCCCACCCGAATGCGCAAACAATGAATCTTTTGGCAGAGCAGACCAACAAATAAACATGTAAGCCAACAGCACTAAACCCCCCTTCATCGCTACTATCTTGTTGCCATGATCTATGACGACACCTGGTTTTTAAGGCACCCCTCACCACATTCTTGGTTTCAACGCCCCACCGCACGTGGGTTTCCGTGGAGGTTTTCAAATCTTGCCCTTTGGGGCTCCCGCCAGGATGAAGCGGCGGTCGGACCTGCGAACGGATGCCATAGACCGTGCCGCTGTTCGGGTTCAAAGGCTTCGGCCACGCAAAAGAGCAGAGCTCAGCTGCCCAGTTTGGACCCGGAAATCAAAGGCGAACCTTTTGGGCCCGTAGCTAAAAATTTGCCAAAAGGGGAAACTAACAGGTCAAAAGGTCGGATTTGGACAAGTGAGACAAAAGAAGGGGCCACAGTGAGAATGGCGTTTCAATTCTGTAATCACAGGGGTCAAATGTCAGTGAAAAAGATGACGGCGCCTCACATTACGAATAAAGGGGCTCTGAAATAGATTCTAAGCGTCCGCCCTCAAATGCGTGGCGCACCAGCTGATCCATGTTGTGCGAGCTACTCCCTGGGACAAAAAGAGGATCAAAGCAGGCCAGGTATGGAGCCTGCTTTCCAGGATGGTTCACCCGTCTCCCTTTGGAATCCGTCCAAAAAATGACAGCCCTCGTGTTGCCTGGGATCCGCAAGAGGTGAAGCCAACGATTTGGGTGGCTCGTCTTTTCGTTGAGGCTCGGGACCCCTCTTTTGGTGTTGATTTCTAAAGGGAACCAAAAGAAACCCAAAATCCGTTTTGGGCAGGTCCCCTTGGGTGTGCCCCCCCAAAACAGGGTTGGTGGACAGAAGGCCCACTGTGGGGCCCTAGAAAAAACCAACATCTCACCACGCGCATCGATCTCCTTGCCCCAAAAGGACCTCGGCTTGCATTTCAGGGCCCCAGCTTTGGTGAGGACACCGGCGGTGCCGGATCCACCTCGGATGATTCGACACCGGAGTCGTTGCGCTTCGTCAGGGCACGGGTCACTGAAACTTCGGGGGCGCCTGACGTTCGGGACACGGTCCGTGGTGTTCCAGGTCCAGGACCCTGTGAGGTCCCAGGTGGATTGGTGCAAGGGGAATGTGTTGCTTTCTCAAAGTTGAGTCCTCTCAAAATTGGAGCTTCCCTTCAATTGGTGGTGTGGATTGGGGGTTTGGAGGTTAGGCGTGGGAAATTTCTTAGCCCCTGCTTCTTGCAAGAACCAGGGGGTGCAAATCCCAAACCACCAATCCATTCCACGAACTAAGGGTCACCCGAAAATCGAGTCCCAAAGAGCAACAAAACAAAAAGGGCTCAACACTTTAGCAGTTTCAATCAAGCAGACTCAAAACTTGACCTGGAGCACTTCAAAACCAAAAAAAAGAAAACAAGCTCGACAAATCAGCCCTCGCAACGGCCTCCGCGGAGGTTGCCTGAGGCGCGGACAGGCACGGACTCGCTCGGGGCGCGCACCACCGCGCCGATGATGCGGCGCTTCGTCTTGCCAGTCCTCGACGGAAAGCGGAGGCTTCGGACGGTGAACAATTTTGCGGAGGAAGGGCGCTTTTGAGCCCGCTGGTCCCGGGTGTTTAATTCTTGTCACTTCGGAAGCTCGCATTCGCAAGAGTAGAAATCATCGCGTGGAAGTCGGGTGGGAGATTGGGAGGATCGGGTGACTGACTGAAGGCGGCCGATTGAGACCTGCCGAGTTGAGGGGCGGCGTGCTGAGGCCGCCGCAATTTCGAGATCGAGGGCGAGCGAGTGATCCTCAGCCGTCGGCTCATGGCCCCGGAAAACGACCCCCGGATGGTCTGCCTGAGAGGAATCCCCACGAAGGGTCGTCCCTTCAAAAAGAAGTGGGGGGTCGACATACTGTAGCTCTGGTGAGAGGAAGCTTACAACACCCAACAGGACGATTCCAGAAAGACTCCGGCTTGAAACCACTGGAAAGCTCAGGTACAACCTGGAGCAAAAGGACTGTCTGTCCTCTAAAGGGCAATATCTGGATTTGGGAAGGGCCTGGACACCCTGGCCCAAAGGAACCTCCGGGCTGCTCACTTTGCAGGAGCGGCTTCCGTGACAGCCGCCGCCGCTTCCTGCAAGGGCAGCATTCAACCCGAGTGGATTGATATGGGGGAGTTCCCCTCCAAAAGTGATGAATCCCCACTAAACACAGGGACACCCCCGATTCATAAACTGGAGTTTATTAATCCGGGGTCAATATTATGTTTTTTTAAAAAAAAGGAGAATGTGGAGCCCCGACATCAGGGAAAAAAGCCTGGCTGGCCTGCAACACTCTCACTCAACGGATTTATGGAGGAAAACAACCCTGATCTTATGATCTTCAGGGGAACCCACCGCCAAGCAAAACTGACACCCGAAACCTACCACTAAAGTTTCTACTATTCAGATCCGGCCCAACCTGGATATGCGTGTCAAGGGGCCCTCACACCCTGTTTGACAAGCCCCCCCCCCCCCCCCGAGGTATTAATCAGCGGCGATTTTGGGGGAAGCAAGGATTCCTCACTAAAAACGGGACCCCTTAATCAAAAGTATGCGCGATTTATGAATCAGTCAGCATGAGACAGGGGCGCAATAGCATCCACCCAGACGCAAACGGCCCAGACCTCCCAGCCCTTGCCCCTCCCAATCGCTTGGCCCAAGCCTTCCCTTCTCGCGCAGCCCTCAAAGAAAGGAGGCAAACGTTTTTGTTTTTTTTCCAGCATAAACTCGGTATTCCGGTTTGGTACGAGTTCGGGCTTTGAAACTTTGGTTTGAAGGATAGCCAAAAGGCAACAAGCCGCCCAAGAACCACCCAAAAGGCCCCATGCTCAAAACTCCTGATCGCCTTAGGTGGGTGATGGTTGTGGTTCACCTATCATAGCTTGTCATAGCCTGCATTCATTGGGTGGTAAATTCGTCCATCCCTGCAAGGCTATCAACCCTAAGAAAAAGAGTGGCTTAAACATGGTGCAGGGAATCGAGACAATTGCTGACAATAGGTTTCATTGGGTTCCTTTTTTAAACGTTGTTTTTTCCCCAATCAAGAATGTGGGTTCCTTGTCTAAAAACTGTGCTGTGTGTTTTGTGTGTCCAATAATTGGCGTGTATTCCCTCTTGATTTTGGTCGTCTGAGATGTCTGTGTGTTCTGTGTTTCCGAAAATATGCGTTTCCCTTATTGAAAAAGATGTACATGTGTGTGTGTGTGGATTGTGTTTCCAAAATTCGCTGTGTTTCCTTTTTTAAGTTGTGTGTGTGTGTGGGTTTTGTGTCTCCAGAAATCTGCGTGTTTTCCCTTATTGACCAGTTGTACGTGCGTGTGTGTGTGTGTGTGTCCAAAAGTCGACGTGTGCTTTCCTCCTTTAAACGTTGTGCGTGTTTTGTGCTTCCAAAAAAAAGACGTTCCATTTTGGTTTAACGAGCCACACGCAGGCTGCTGGCAGTCCGCTCCCTTGTTCGACGCTCCTCGGCCGCGGGCTGCGGCACGGCTGGCTGCACCTGGCGTCGTGAAACGATGAGCTTTCTTCGGCGGGTTTCCTGGTGGACGCGAAACTGAGACGGAGATGGCTATGGGTCAAAACCGAAATCGTGCCCCCAGTGAACATCCCAATCCAACCACTAAAATAGGTTCTAAAATGGGTCGTCACCTATCCCAACATGGTACCATTGGTGTTGACCCACGGCCAGATCTCTCCCAACATGATGGGTTTTCGCGGCCCGCGGAATGATACTTCCGCTTCGTTTGGTTTGCTCAGCTGCCTCGGATGAGACCCAGAAAGAAAAGGTGATCACCTCTGTGCTCATGCACTACAAATTGGCACTAAAACTTGGCACCAAAAAGGGGAACCAAAAGGTCACAAGGTCGATTGGTAGGCTTTCGGGGTCCACGTTGATTTCAGAGACCCTTGCTTCTGCTGCTTCTGCTGCTGTTGCTGCTGTTGCTGCTGTTGCTGCTGTTGCTGCCTCTGCTGGTAAATGCAGTAGCTACGTGTGCAGCATGTCGCCACCATATGCTATCTGATGCAGCAAATCAAGCCCATGGAACACAGAATCTGATTGTTTTCCCCCTCAGATCCATGAGCTTGCCATGACTTATTTCATTCTGGATCCAACTGAGCGACACCTTCAGCACTGTCAAAGGCTTTCTCAATTCTTGGCTGGAATCAGGACTGCCTGGTGAGTGGAAAACAAAGGGGCCCCAAAGAAGCAAAAAAGGAAACGGGGGAGCTAATTCTGGGGAAGACTCGACATCAAGATCGTGTCGAGAACCTCCCCACCTCCCTTTTATCAGGGCCTCTGAGTGATCCCTAGCAAGGAACCCGGAAGTGCGCCGGGCCCATGCTCGTGTCATTCTCACTGTCATCCCCCTAAGCTTAAGGAATTAAAAAAAAAAAAAAAAAAAAACGCCAGGAACTCAGACGTTGCTCGCGGATTCAGAGAATGCCCTCGCGTCCCACCAGTCCCACCCCAAGAGGGCGCCTTGAAAGTCGGCAGCATCCAGGTGCCCACCTCTCACGCGAGGAAGCGCGGCCCCGATTTTTTTTGTATCTGCTGAAAGCTTGACTAGCTGGCTGTGGCTCAAAAAACTGGAATTCCAAAATGGGTTGCCCGATCGGTAAGTGGAAACATGGACCAACACCTGCGGCTTGCCCCTCCGGCTCTCAGTGGCTACATGGAAACCCAACCCCCAAACCCCAAGAAGCCAAGGCTGGGGAGCCGGATGCTCGGGAAGCACCTGACCGTGAAAGTGCATTTGTCTTTGTCCCGGCAAGCAAGCAGACCTATTTTTTTACATACACATGTGGGTGCGGGTGTCAAGAATAGTTGGGAACCCCAAAATGGGTTGGCCTGGGAAATGGAAACAAGGACCCAAACCTGCGGCGGATGGTTGAACCTCGACCCATACCCACACAAGCATTTCCTAAAATTGGCAGACCCCCCTTTTGGACGAGTCCACCGGCCCCCCATCGTTTCAGCTTCGCCACGTGAGACGAAGCAGACCACCCAAAATGAGTGGTTTCCCTGGCGGTTCTGTGTACCCTCAATTTGCCTTAGCCCCGCGGGAAAGCAAAAAATAGTTCGAGTGATCGATTCCGATCGACTACCTGTAAAAGCAACAGGGGTAAATAAAACATCATGGTTTCAGCAAATGGAGGACAATAATCCTATCCACCCGGCAATCAGACATATGTTTTTTTTCTGGACAACATCCTACAATTGGTTGGTGCTTCATCCCAACATGTCTAGGGCTGAATCCATCCGGGTGTTGTTTTTTTTTGGTTTGTTTTTTCCGGGCCCCACCAAAACAAAGGTGCCTTCAAACGGTTCGACCTGGGTGCCATCCATCCGTGAATGTGTGCCTCACGAAATGGTACCCACCATGGAACCCCATTCGGGTGGAAGCTTTGCGGCCCCCCCCAAAAATCACCCTTTCCAGAGATGCTGATGGACAAAATCGGATCTGTTCCGCCAAAATGGAACCCCTTGCAAATGGAAAAGTCGACTCCAATCTGCAGTCCCCTGGTTCTTGCGGATTTTGCTTTTCGACCGCTGGGATCAGCTGAGCCCGTAGGCGCCGGGATTCCCGAGGAGCCGGCAGAGGGGCAGAACTGGAACGGGGTTGGCCTGAGCTCTCGCGAGCAAAGCTTGCGAGGTATCAAGGAATGCCCCAAACACACAACGAACCTTTCGTATTGATACCCTCCCACCAGCTAACATGCTAACATGGAAGTGCACAGACGTTTGTAGAAAGACTGCTTTCCTCTTAGAAAGGGCCTTTTTTGTACTTCCATGATGGAACTTCCATGTTAGTTGGTGGGAGGGTACACTTTAATAAAATACAAATGCCATATGACACCAAAGTATTGTAGATGTGGGTGTAGACCATGCAAAACATCTACCTCTGTGTTGTTATCTACATCCACGTAGGTATTGTTTGTGGATAATGCAGAACGCCGGCTTCTGCGCAGGCAAAACAAACCCCGAACACCAGTCGATGCCAACCTTTCGAGTTGGTTTCGGGACGCGCTGAGGCAGGAACTCGACCTGCGCCTCGGACGCCTCGGTTGCGGTCGGTTTGCTTCTGGCGAGTTTCAGGGGGAACCAAAAAACCAACGCAAAGATCAAGGGAGGGCAACCAGCATTTCAATGCAGTCTGGCGAATCCACTTCAATCAGAAGGAGACCGTGGGCAAAGGAATGCTAAGAGGAACCTGGTTAGGACCCAGTTGGGGATAAAATGGAAAGTGCAGTGGGGTTCCAACAATCCTAGTCCCCAACCTTGACCGAAAGAAAACTATTCTAACAGTGGTCTTTTGAACTTCATATCCATCTGGAGAGTACACCCAAACTTTGTAGAGTACATCACAAGTAGGCAAATCATTCCACCAACATGCAACTTGCATCATTACTACAAATGTAGGTCCCCGCGAGACGAAACGTCTAGGGATTGATTCCAACCACTAGGTCCTCCAGTAGAGAGGTTACAATAAGTTGGTACCCGATTTGTTTTTCTGATTCGTCTATTTTAGTAGAGGAACCCTCCCAACCAACAAAGTTGGTAAAAGGGCACTACTCAGGGACCTAGCGACTATGTTCAACTATGGTTCTTTTCAAGAACCAGCTGGCTCCCACGGTTTTTCTGGGCTGTCCGTTTTCAGATCCCCCGCTAGAAGTGACTCACCTTTAGTGGATTAAATTCGGAAAATTAACCACTAAAAAGTAAAAGGCTAAAAAGCTAAGGAACCACATGGCTGGGAACCACCAAGTATTCTTGACGGTTTCCTGGGAAGGATGCCTGGCATGGGTGTGCATTTGGGGCAAATAGATGGCCCAGGTGAACGAGGAATCGCCATCTATGTTTCGACCAAAACCACTAACAAGGACACCTATGATCCCTGGAAACCGAATATGGGAAGCTTCTCCGGGAGGACTGCGCCTTGCGGGTCTCCATGATCTCTGCCATGGCGCTCTCCAACTTTCCGCCCTGCGCCGATCGCGCGTGTATCGATCGATCCCCCGCTTGGGTCGGATCCCCAGCGCGGGATCCAAACGCAGACGGCGTGAAAGAGTCTCTTGCCTTAAAGTCATGCCTCGTGGAATCCAAAGAGGAGCTCCCAAAATGACAAACACATCACAGAGGTAGATGTCTTGCATAGTCTACAAACACATCTACAATACTTTGGTGTCGCATGGCATTGGTATTTTATTAAAGTGTGCCCTCCCACCAACTAACATGGAAGTACAAAAAGGCGAACTAACCAGGAGGAAAGTACTCTTTCCACAAAAGTCTGTGCACAAGCCCATGTTGGTCGGGAGGGTGCACGATCCCGGGGGGTTGGGGAGGATGCCTGGGATACTGCTCCCATCCATCCGCCAGCTGGATCCATCATTTTTATCAAACCCCCGTTCCTGGGTGCAAGCGAGTCCTGAAGACTACTTTGGGAATCCGGTTGTCTCACTTTAAACCACCACGAGGCTCTACTTTCTTGAGGATGAGACTGTAATGCCATGCGCACCATGAGGTGATGTCGTGGAGAACAGCCCGCTGAAAGCTCCCCGCGGAACCCCAAAAAAAATCCGGACGAAACCGTGGTTGGGTGGCTTCGACCCCCATACCGGGCGTGGCTCAAAATTTTGGGGAAGACCCCAACTTGGCCGGTTTCTATTGTGGTTCCCCCTCTTTCTGAACCCACCCAACCGGGCTCCAAGAAGACAAATCCAGCCACCTGGACCCGAGGCTTCATGGCTCCAACCCCCACCCGGCCTCCGCCGTCTTCATGAGCGCCAGCCGGGCCTCAAGGCCCCCAATTTTTGGCGCGGTTCTTCGCCCCCGCGGAAAAAATAAATCTCAGAAAAGGTGTCCAGTGGTGAAAAAATGATTCCCTGTTAAAACCAACAGGGGGAAAGTAAAAAATATTCTAAAACCAGGGGAAATCAAACATAGTCATTTCTAAACCCAGGGGAAAGCGTGGAAGTCACCCTCCTTTACCAATGTGCCGGCGCATCCATGCTGGGACAATACTCTCTGGTAAAGGAACTCACTTCGAATGCCGCCAAAACCCCAAAGGTGATGCTTAAAACCACCAAGAGGGAAGTATTCACACACAAGATATTCCCCCTTTGCCGTGAAACTGGGAAACTCAGCTCGAACCACCCAACAAGAGTGAACTCAAAGGGTGCCAACCGCCTTTGGCGGTTTTGGCCAACTCTTTGGACGGTGCCCGACAAAAAAATGGCAGGCCTTCTCGCGGACAGCCTCGACAGGATCCTCGCGCAACCGAGGTAAGTGAGTCAGGATGGGAGTCTGGATATGCACATATATATATATATATATATGTATGTATCTATATATATATATGTATAAATGAAATGGCGATTCCTCGACGGCATGCAGGACCCATTCAGGTGACAATCTCAACATCACCCCAACTGACTGAAATGGGTGGCTCGTCTGTTTTTCAGGGGACCCCCCAAAATGGTTGGTGTTTGGTTGGTGTCCCTTCAAAACCAACCACCAGATGTCATTTGCCAAAACTACTTGGGACAGCCGAAAAAGATCAACACGTCGCCTGTATGGAGGCGAGGATTTTCGTGGTTGGCCTTCAAGGAGTGGGTGGGAATCGGATTCCATGCCACTCACAAAAGGTGGTAAGGGCTGGAACTGAAGCTGGCCAGTCATAAGAACAAGTCAGGCAGTCAAGATCCTTTGCCATTTCAGTGTTGGGGGTCGGACTGAAAAAGAGGCAACCGTTCAAAGGGGTGAGGGGTTCGGCAAAAGGCACTGTGGGAACGTCCAGACGCTGGGGCCATAAGCGTTTCTTTGAGTAGGTGACCCCTGAAAATGGTTGGTTTCCTGTCTGGTTTGACCACCAGCCAAGTGGAGGTGCGCCATGTTGAGACGCCCCATGCTTTCGACCACAAAGCGTGTGGTGCCTCAAAAAACTCGGTGGGTGGAGCAGAACAGAATGCCCAAAGCAGGGCCCAAAGACTGCCGAACCAACAAGTGGGACTATCCCCCGGAGCTAACAGACAACCTTTTGCCTGACCTGCCAAGTTGACCCACCAAAATCAGCTGAAACTTCTTGGGCTTCTAAAAGGATGGACGATCCTGCCAAAAAAAGTCCAAAGTTTGCAAAACTTCAGGCGTGTTGCGGATCCAACATGTTACAAAGATCTAAAGGTGGTGCGCGATCACGCTGAAGGGTGAACCCTTTTGCATAGTGCTTAAGACAACACCAGACGGAAAGCAACCAATTGCATAGTGCCCTAAACCAAAATTGAACCAAGCGGAAGCTGCGAATGAACACTTACCCCTTAAAACTCCAAGCCCTGGGGAAGTTAATCTTTTACAGACATATAGCCCATGTTACCCAAAAAGCTGAAAAGTTGTGTTTTTAAGAGGTAAGCACATGAAACCCAATGAGCCATGATTTGTAGAGGCATCTCCTTTGAATCCCTTCCTGGGAGGCGTCATTTGGGCCGCTCACATGCCCAGGTCCCCATCCCCCTCGCGCTCGGGTCCGGTCCTTCTGCACGCTCTGCAGGGCAGTGGTCAGGCGCCCGTCCCGCGCCGCAGACAGCAACAGGTCCCGGGCCTGGCAAGTCTGGGGCCTCATTCGGGTAAGCCCTGCTAGGTCCTCCAGTAGAGTGGTTAAAACAAAAAAAATAAACAAACCTAAATCCTCCATGAAGGTTAGAATAAGTTGGTACCCGACTTTTTTCTGATTCGTCTATTTTAGTAAGGGAACCCTCGCCCAAAACAGGGGTTAAAAAGGGCACTACTGGGAAACCTAGCCTACTTGTGGTGTTTGTTTTTTTTTGCGGGTAGCCGGGTAGCCTTTTCAATTTTCAAGTGGGCCTTCAAGCAAAAAACAGAAGAGAAACAGTAACGTGTTTGGAGGGCTCCTTTATTTTGACACACGCCCACATGGGCTCAGGCAATTCTGGGGGGAGTCTACGATCCATGGGCTCGCGGCCGGGCTCTTCGAAGTTGGTTCCGGTGCGATTTACACATTTATGCGACGCACGCTAAAACCCGCTTGGAGTGGGAACCCGCTTGGAGTCCACTGGCAAATGACAAATCTTGTTTGCCATCTTTGTCGGCACCTCAGTTGGCCCCGCTTGCTCCACTACTGGCAGCGTGGCCTCGTTTTCACTTTTTGGCTCGCCCTCGTTCAAGTCCGCACAATGATCACCTAAGTTGGCGCGTAAGCTTCTCCAAATACTTTCTTAGAGGAGGAGGAGGAGGAGGAGGAGGAGGAGGAGGAGTTCGAGGAGGAGGAGGAGGAGGAGGAGGAGGAGGAGAACAAGTGCGATCACGAGAAAACTGGGAAAATATGTGCACATGAGTTCATGGTACGTCTGCTGCGCTGCCTGCTTCTGTTCGGCCACGTCTCTGAGCACCGAAGAGATCTTGGAGATGTTGCTTTGACACTCATCGATGTTGTCGATGCTAATGAGGGCGCCCACAGTCCCGACTGGAACGCTTGCAAAGCCCATGGCAACGCCTGCTCCACAGTCACATGCCGCCGAGGCCAAAGTCGCTAGAAACCCCACAACCGCGGTGCCCAGACTCAGAAGCCCGATGGCCTGTGACTTTGCTTGGTCATTCTCGGCCTTCTTGATGAGTGACTCGCACTCCCATCTACGCACGGTGTCTCTCTGCCGCCTCTCCAGCTTCTTCGGCGCCGTCACCTCTTTCTCCAAGTCGTCGCTGAGATCTTTGAGGCTGGCTTGGAGCTGTCGCACTTGGAAGAGACCGCCGGAATGCTCTGCTCCAGCTGGTCGACCTCTTTGGCAACGCGACATGAGGCTGCCAGCAAAAACAGTGAAAGCGCCAGATTTGTAGCACCCACCGCCTTGAGGATGGAAGCCTGCTTCATGGCCATTTGCTGAGCCATTTCTGTCTTCTCGCTCTGGGAAGCCTTTTTGAAGGTGTCACAGCTTTCTGTCATTGCATTATTGACAGAGTCACAGCTCTTGCAGTTGGCCGCATATGCTTCCTTTGGAGCATGCTCATGAATCTTGTACTTAATCCCCTGTTTGTCCAATTCTGCCAGAACCTTCTTGCTGATCCGGACCTTTCCATCTTTGCCTGGAAAAAACTCCCAGAAGTAACCCGTTGCAATTTGGGGCGTTTGTCTGAAGAGCTGCATCCTTCATAATCTGATCGATGGTCTTCCGTGTGTAACTGACAGTTCCTGTCTTGATTTCACGGTAAATCCCGCTTGAGTCGATGATGTCTACAATCCGTATGTCGCTCCGGGAGGAGTACGTAGAATGCACGCGGACCTGCATTTTCGTTTCAAGCCCGCGCTTAATCAGCTGAGATTGCACAAAGCTTTCAGCCTGTTTGCCCTGCGCAACGGCCGAAAGGAAGCTCACACTTTGCTTTGGGCGCTGGCACGGCGTAGCTGGGATTCCAGCTCTTGTCTGTCGACGCAGCGATTGCCAGGGGCAAGCCGGCCGCATGCAAAGCCCACGCAAACTCAGCGCACGGTTTGGAAAAGGCCGCAACATGCTGGTCCTGAGCACAAGCAGCTGCCAAAGTGTCCAAGTGGATCCCAATAACTGGCTCAGCACAGGTGCATGGACACATGATGGCCTCGTCAATCCGGCAATCCATTCTCGAAAGGCGTGCAAAAACTCCCAGGGAGTCAACAATCAAAACCTTCATTCAAAACCTGCCAACGAATACCTACGCAAGGGAAAAGGATGGATTTTTTCCGGCCACCCCGGTGACCGGCCACCCCAAGTCACCCTTACCGCACCAAGCGGAAGCCGACCAAAGCTTTGGGCCAAAGCTTAGGACATCATTGAGGTGGGATTCACTCCACTTTTCAGCTGGCTTCTTGGTTGCTGTTGACCCCCCTGCAAAAAAAGTGACTTTTTTTTGGGGGGGGGGGGGGTTAGTGCAAAACACCCCAAATTTCAACCAAAAAGTGACAGCTAAAGATCCAACCCAATAGCAGTCCAGGTTCCCCACGTTCGGTTGGCACCCCGAAACCGAAACCGAGCGCCGCGCCGCGCGCCTCCAATCGCAGAGACTCCTCGCGGGCCGTCTCCAGGGCAGTCGACAGGCGCCCGTCCATGGCCGCGCGCACCAAGGTGGCGCGGGCCTGGCCGCATCCGCGTCTGCAGCGATGGGATCCGACCGACCCCAACCCAATGACATTGGGTGCGGATGTATTCCCAAAAAAACACGAATTCAACCAAACAAACAAATGACATCTCGGGATTGTGCCCACGTGGCATGCCCTTTAGTACAGTATAGATGACAGCAAAGATTGACTGTTGCTCTTATGCAAACATTATAGTGCGACTATACACTTTTTGATTGGGGTCACTTCTGTCCCTTGTTGGAAGCAAAGAAATAGATCTCAGCCCAAGCCCAACCAACACCGAAGCAAGCCACGACCAATTCAACACATCATGTTAGCTTTCTTCCGCTTGGTTTCCCACTTTATTCCGTGCTTTTGTATCCCTTTCCAACCACCCCACCCAACCCCCCAACTGAAGCCCACCCCACCCAACCAACAGCCCAACCAACCAAAGCTGGCCCAAGTCCCCACAAAAAAAACACACACACACACACAAACCTCACTCCAGAGTGGATCGGCCCCAAAAAAACACTCCAAAAAAAGCAGAAGAAGAAGAAGAAGAAGAAGAACAGGCCACCCAACGTGGCCACCACATGGCCACGAAGAACATGGGCCGCCCCAACGAGAAAAACCGCGCCACGTCCGACGTCGCGCCTCCAGGCGCGCCGCCTCCAAGGCGCTGGCCTGGCGGAGGAGACTTGGAGCCAGCCCCACCCCTCCCGGCCCTTTGGTGCTGGGCGCTTTTTGTCCTTCTTTTTTTTGGGGGGGGGGTTCCTTTGTTTTTTCTTTCGAGGGTTTGCGCGGTTGGGGGGTGAGCGGAAACGTACGCGCTTCTTAAGCCCTTAAAAAGCCTTACTGGCTTTTTTTTTGGCTCCCTCCCAACTCTCCCGCTTCCCAAGGCCCCTTTCAAACGATGCGGGGAAAGCCCGTGACACCCAAAAGAAGCTGGGTTTAGAGGAGGCTTCGGGAGAGGCCGCAGCCGGGACCCGGAGGTTGGCTTTGGGGAAACCAAGGATGGGAGGTGGCGCAAGTGTAAAGAAATGCCGCGGCGTCAAACAGACCTCGCTTTCATTCCCATGAATCTAGGCCAAAGAGAGCCAAAAGCGAACACACCATCCGGATGGGGCCCCTCTGTTTCAAAAAACAGACCCATATGAACCCTTGGCACAAACCCTGGGTCGGAAACCATTCTTGGCTTGACTCTCAGAAGCTCAGAGTAACTATTGGGGCCTATTTGAACCGCCGAATGAAACGCCTCGGAAAGGGAGGCGGAAAAAGGGTGTCGCTTCAACCACCGAACATCATGGTGAGTCAACCAAAAAACCATACCTTCCAGCTCGCCCCCAACAAGCCGCCCCCGTTGGGGAGAGAAAGGGAACCGCTTCTTTTCGGGCTTCACGATGTTCGGTGGGAGCATCAAAACAAAAAGGGATTTGGGTGTGGCTCAAACGTGGCCATTTCAAAGCAACGAACCCTGTGGAAAGGTAAACCCGAAACCTGCGGTTTATTGGAAACCCAACCCCTAAACCAACTAAAAAGATTCAACAACAAATATGGTTGGTTCGGTTCCAGCCACCTAGATAGCCAAGTTGCTGGTTTGGTTCAGTCCCCGTTGCTGGTTTTTTTGGACGGTAAAAAGTGCGTGGAAAAAAGCGAGCATGCTTATCAAATATGCCTGATATCACCAATTATTGCCTTGTTGTGCTTAAAAAAGCTGAACTAATGTCTAGCCCACTGTTTGGAGAATAAAACACCCCCTGCCAGCGTATACCACAACTACAATTAGTGAAATATATGTTATCCATATTAGAAAAGTGGATACAAAACAGTATATTTCTCAAGTGCTTATTAGCAACCTCTAACGCTCATTTTTTTTATAATAAAATTGATTAACTCAATGAAAGACATGCGATCCATCCACCAAGTGGACCAACCAACTAAAAGCTTCAACACAAAAATTCCTATGGCTGGAACCAACAGCCAAGTAAGAGAAAAAAAGGACACGCGCCGGTTGTTTGTGGCTCCCAAAAAAAAAGCGCGCGCCGGCCGAACCCACCGCCCAGTGGACCTTCTTCCCCGCGCCCGCCGGCCTGAGCATCCTCCCGGGTCTTCAGCAAGGCCTCCTTGAGGCGCCCGTCCGCGGTGGCGCGCAGCAGCGCCCCCGCCGCCTCCGGAAAAGCCCCGGGGCGCCGGTGGCGCGCGCCCGCGGAGGCGGCGCGCTGCGCGCGGAGGCGGAGGCGCGCGTTGCTCGCTTCGGTGGGTGGGTCAAGGGGGGGGGAGGTGGGCGGTTGGGAAAGGGGGGGGCCGCAAGAGGGGGGAGGGGATGGATGAACTGTCAGGAACTCTGCAGCAGGCCCGGACTCGCAACCAACAAGCAGAGAAGGCGGCTTTGTTGTGAGATGTTCTTGAGGACACCTTTCGGATGGGTGGAAAGAACTGGCTTCAAAAGGGGTTGCTTCAAAGGGAAGCAAAGAGAAACCACCTGTTTTCGGGCTCATTTTGAGACAAGCCCATTTCTCCATCTGGGGAATTTTGCGAGTCGGACCGGGACATGAGTCCCCACGGCCCCTGATCTCCCCCCGTCTGTATCCAACTCTCCGCGCCTGGGAACGCAGCGTCTCAATCTCAGCCTGCGGTGCAGCTGCCGGTGAGGGAGTGACCTTCAGGGAAACCGCCCAAAAAGAATGAAACAACCGCTAAACATGGGATGAACACCGCTAAGATGATGTGTCCCACATGGTCAGATTTTGGGGCCGAACGAAATTTGATCAACCCCCCCGATCCATCCATGTTATTGACTGTCATGGGTTGCTTTAAACCAAAACCTCATTCACAGAACCCCACCATTCGGCGGGCCTGAGAAAAAGAGACGCCCGAGTTCCCGCAAGAGCTCGGGTGGGGATTTACCCTACTCCAGTGGCAAGGACATCCCAATTTGGATGAAACCGCAGGGTAAACTGCGAAAATATCATCCAAACCATTGTTCTGGCTCGAAGCGCAGAACTTCTCTTTGGTAACCCCCCCTTCTCCCTGGCGCGCAAAAAGGCAAAGGGACCGGTTCATCTTGATCCGCTTGAAGCCGAATGGGAACATGGCTCGCCCTGGTTTGACCCAAGCGGACCATAGATGACGCGAGGTGCTCCTGGTTGCGTGAATGAGAAGAAACCTGTTCCCAGCGGATAGATGAACGGATACTTTGTCCGAACCTCAGAGTCACAATAAAAGAACAAGCGCTGAAGAAGTGTATCCAACACCGTGTTCAGGACTAAAAGGGGCGGCTACATCCATCCAGGGTTTGATTGTGGCTCAGGGGTCCCGGCGTCCCTCCGCACGTCTTTGGGAACCCAAAGTCAAACGAGGCCCTGAGGGTGGCCTTCTGTTTTTGGAGTTGCAACCAATGTGTGGTGTTTTTTCGGAAACCCAAAAGAAAAGCGTCACACATTTTTGATCCGGTCCCCAAGACAACGCACCCACAGTCGGTCCCTCCTAAAAGCCGCCCTTCGCGCCAAGAAGCCGCACTGAAAAACTTGGCCATCAAAAGAATGGGTGAGTCAACCACCACAAGCAGTAGCGAGAGAAGCAAAAGTTTCGAAGGAGCCTCAAACTAGTTCCCGCTTTGGGGCTTCTCCAAATCACTTTCCGGGCACTTCCCTCAGCAAACAATCGAAAATCGAGGCTCACTTGGGGGCGCGAAACAAAATGCGAGTCGTCCTCTTGGCTTCCCTTCAAAACGGAAAAAGGAGGTAGACTCCCGACTCACAGAAGGGAGCTCCCCCGATTGACCTCTGTGAATGAGTCACCAAGTCTCAAAGGCTTCAGGGAGCTTCCGTGGAATCACACGGGGGGAAGCTACCCTCAAGCCCAAGCTCGCCGTGCGAGTCCATCGGAGGCTCAGCTCGCCCGGCAGCTCGCCGACCCTCCGACCCTCCGAGCCCGGCAAGACGCGACGCGACGCGACGAGCGAGCGCCTCACTTCGGGCTTGGTGCAGGGCGGCGCTGAGTCGCCCGTCCCCGGCCGCGGCCAGCAGGGTGTCCCTTGCCTCGACGACCAACAACGTCGAGACTTTGGTCCCCAAGGAAACCACCAGTTGGATGGTTTATAAGGGTCATTCCCTCATTCCCTGCTGAGCACCAGCAAGCATTGGGAGGTTTAAACTAATATCAGGAAAACCAGCACTTCGGGGGGTTCACTCTTGGGGGGTCACATTTGGGGTGTCACAGGGATGGTACCATTGGGTGGTTTACATGGATAGCCAAAGGGGGATGTGTCAAAGGGTGGTTTAAACGTGTGCAACTAACTATTCTACTCCCCTGCAAATTCCCCGAAGAAACTCCACTGCATCCAAAAGAACAGGGATGTCCGGAAAGGTCTTAAAGAGGGGCCGCTCTGAAAGAAGTTCATTCCAATTTCAACTGCTTGTTTCATAGGGGTTGGCGGGGAGGGAGGTGGGGGAGGGACCAAATAAGGCCTTATTAGGGGCTCAATAAGGGCCTATTTGGGCTCCCTCCCCCCCTCCCTCCCCCCCGGCCCCCATGATTGTTGGGCGATCCCCTGTGATTGCCCACACATGTTGCTTTGCGTGGTTCCATGTTAATCTGCAGGAGGCTGCAAAATGCGGGCAGGAATTAGTTGGAGCTCCGAGGGTGCATAAGTCAAATATAGCACTCAGTGTGTATCATTTGGAATGATTCTACCAAGGTTGAACTCGATCGTGGACGCATGCGGGAACTTTCCGTGGGTTATCCAGGGGCACATGCCGAAAGGCACGTAGGTGATCCCTTAGATTCATATGCAGCCTCTGAACCAGAGGGTCATTAAGACACCCAAGGCCGAGATGAGTAATACACATAATTATGCTACATATATACATATATAATACGTACACGTATAGATGTGTATAATACTTATATACGTATTATATATATAATACTTATATACACACTAGTCAAATTGGAAACTCCCCCTGCAAGAAATCCGCAAACGCGAACAGGAGGTGTCCAAAGCAGCATCAAAATACGTGTGCGAATTCAGGCTAACATCTATGGGTTGTCTACTGACGGTGGACATAGTCCCCATAACGACAGGAATCCCAATGGATGGATGTCCCCTTGGCAATGATTGCAACAGTTGTCAAGACGTGCCGGGCAACAAACCTGCAAAGCGCGACATGCAAAATGTCATCAATGGTTGTCGCAGAAACCTCACGAGTTCAAGCGAGGGAATCCACCAAGTGGGTTCATGTTGGTTATATAGATGAATACATCCAATTGAAACCAGCAGACTTCTATGTTCAACCAAGCTGACCTACACGGACGACTGTCTGCACTACATGAATGAAGGGATCCACTCTTGTTAAGGGATCTTTGTCATTGGTGAGTCCAGACCCATGTGTTTTGGGTTTAGCCGCTAAGCAAATGATCTTAGGCTTCATCCATAATCCGGATTCCGGAAACCGCTAAGAGAACATTCTCCGTTATCCCAACCGCACAATTCGGGACAAAACAAAGCTTCCTCCCACGCGTCTCCCGATGCCTGTTCCCGCAGCACTTCCGTCTCGTCCTGCCGAGGGCCGCGGAACAGGGATGTCAGGGGCTCTTGGTTGACCTTGGAAGGGGAGCAAAAATTGATAAGTTTTAGCAGTTCAGTGGATTTGGATTTCCCACTAAACCACAATAAGCAAAAATGTAACATGTTTCCCAACAACAACCATGGGCTGATGTTGCTTTGCTGTTTGTGGCTTCGCGACCCTGCTCATAAAGGTCTCGATTGGGAACGATGTCAAACCCTCATTAAACAAGATCGGGCATTGGTGTTTTAGAAGCACATCATGGTAGTGGATGTCAATCTCTTACAAAAGGAGCGACTTCTATTGGAACAAGGTGAGTCTTTGCTTCCATGTCGGCGATCACTAGATTTGGTGAACAAAAGGAGTATTCGGTCTTTAATATCGTTTGAGGTGCACAATACAAAAAGGCGAACATATATACACATGTACATGCATTTATGTGTTTATCTATTTATCTATTTATTTCGACATGTATGCACATACCATGTTTTTTTCAGTTGTTTCATTAAATGTCAGTGGCTATGACTGGTTCAGATATTTTCTAGAAACCGACGCCTTGAAGTAAATGAAAGTCAGGCCATTTGGGGAAATTCCTCGGGGAGGGAGTGGAACCACTTGGATCCTGTCAGTTG